GGTAGCCGCAAATCGCATCGATAATGTCGTGCAATAACGATCGCAAGGTTATGACACATTCGCGTTGCTATTTTAATGGGAAATATGTATATATTACGCAATCTTGACTTGCTTTAGGATCTTTCTTATACCGCTTTATTAAATTATAGCGCCATGAATGTGTTAGCGTAAAGATTAATTTAGCACGCTGGCGCGATAACGAGACGACAAGAACCTTCACTTATTCTTAACAACCAAATTTATATTTATTATCTGAGCATCGTTATCACTTTTTCTGATATTATACTGAAAATTAATGAATAAACAAGTAAATAGCTTCTTAGTAAAAAAAGTGGTAGTAAACGTTGTTAATAAATACGATGAATGCGCTATATTATACAAGATTAAATGTATTTTTACAATGTTTTTGTTATCGTTTACTAATATCGTTTTTTCCTTTTTAACGGTACCATCGTACTCGAATTTTCGGGCATGGAAGCTCTCCTTTTTCATTTTCACAACAGCATATATACGGAGAAACGTACACATAAAATAAAATAGAACGATAAAAATGATTTTACTGCTTGCAGAATCCTACGTACGGAACTTTTATCACTTTACGTTGCCGAAGAATTTGCAAAACAGTGCGCCTGTTATATAATCAGTCTGTGCTATTTGCCACGTTTGCTTTCACAATATGAATTTCCCATTGCAAAGTATTTCTGTTACAAATGTAAGACGTGCATACGGGCAGATCTTCGCTGCACAGTCTTCCGAAACTGGATTAAGTCTCGAATTAAATTTCCTCCTACCGCGGTAAAGCCCTCTTCCCGTCCAGGGGATGGAAGAAAAAAAAAAAAAAAGATCGAGCAAACTTTTTGATGCAGCATTTGCCGTGTATTTACGCGTTCCATTTTATTGCGTCCGCAATACGAGTATTACCGTACCGACGTAACTCTATTTTTATTTGTCACATACATACATACGGGACATGGCGGTAAGTAATATAAAAATCACTGATGCGTGATACAGGGGGCGCGGTATGGAGGGTGCCATAAAATTAGCTCTCGTATATTTATTCGAGATTCAGTTTCTGATTATCGAAGGAGCTCTCCGTTTATTGTATTAAGGGTAGAGCACAAATCATCAAAAGTCAATTCAATTACAATCTCATTTCGTGAAACTTATGAAGAAAGTTCCCGTGTCACAAAATGATTCTGTCTTCCATTGCAGATGGTGTGATCCGTGGAAATCGATGACCTACAACGATCCGCGAGCCTTGCTGAAATCAGCCGATCGATCGTCGATCGTCGTAAGCGGGGGCAGGAGATCAAGATGTGACGCGCGATGTACCTTTGACAGTTCTGCATTAAAGATCGGACGCATAGCGCTGGACTTAACAGTAAGTGCATTCCGAGAGATTGCATAACAAATCGCAGGCCGGAAGATTGTTAAATCGCGAGAACGACAAAGAACGACTCGTCAAGGGAGAATTAAGGCCGCGGCTCCGTCCAGGAAATTCAATTATTTTGGAGTACTTTATTAGAAGTACCTTCCTTCCGGCTTCTGACTTCTGAAGCCAATTGCATCTTTATTTTCTTGTTTGCAGTGGGAAGTACAATTGCCAGTGATTTTGTTACGTCGCCGACTTATCGCACGATCGAAAGGCTGAAGGCTAATTGAGATCGTTTTGTTTAACAAAACGATTTAGCATTTACGCTTCATGATTTGGATGTGACATTTGTTCACGTAGTTTAATTAACGAGAATAAAGGATAGTCATCACGCGCGTCGTTACAAATATTCTTTAAATATTGCTGCTGTAAATATTGCGAGGTTTTATATATATGGATGGAAAATTAAATAACTTTTCAATTAACGCAAACGATGGAAATTTACAATCCGTGACCTGATTCGTGATTAATGTCAGAACAGGCTCCAAATATTCGACAAGTGCCCTTTCGCGTTCATGCCAATTGCGCCCTCGTCGATTGCTATTGAGAGACAGAGGCACGGCATTCCGCTATTAATACTCCACACTCGAAACATTATGAGTTAGCGTTTGATTTACTAATGAAGTGAACGATACACGCTAATATGCCGCGTGTATAATTCTAATACTATTACCCGCCTGTTATAGTATCTCATGTTAAATTCGCGAAATCAATAGTCTTTTGTCAATATACGCTGCCGCGTTTCTAACAGAAAAATATTATGAGCGTATTATCCGAGTATCTCGAAATATGAAAGAGTTTTTACAGAGCAGATAATTATTATTTTATACTCGCTGGAACAAAGCATTAGGAGCGGAAAGTTACATTTGACATCGGACGCCCAAAGAGACACGCGCCTTGGTACCCGGTATTTTCGTTAAACGTTTAATCCTCTTTTTCAAATAAATATTTGGATAAAAATTTACATTACATTACACCGAATATAATAAGTGTATTTTTTAAGAATAAAGAGGGACAAACTGTCTAAATTTCAAATAAATATTATCGTGCGTGTGATTTAGCAGCATTATTAATAGGACGGAACAACAATACAAGGATGTAACAATACACAAAATGTTATTTAAACTGGACTGTGAAATTGGGATCAATTGTACTTCCCGTTCTAATCAAAACTCGAAAACAACTATGAATTACTGCAGTTGACGCACTTTAATTGGGATATTCTAGTTATAAGCTTAAGCAAACTGAAATTTTATGGTCAGGCTTGTCATCCAACAAATTAACCGAATCGAAAATACTTTTTCGCCACGTTAAACGAACGGAGAAGTATTTTTTCGCGATACTAAACCTTTTTCCTTCGATGCGTTTTTGATTTTCTGATTATTCGCGAGGTAAATGGAATTTGAATCTCTTCGCCGAGAATTGAGCACGAGTACTAAAAATACTGCGGAAAGATCGGGGTACGTCTCGTACGTCGCGGGAAACGATTATTTCCATAGAATTCTTCATTGTTTTACAAAAGTGTATTCCAGTTCGCGAAACAATGCGTATGACCGATTCAAAAATGTGACGGGGATGTGCATAATCGCTGCTCGAGAATAATGAGAATGGTTTGACGTTCGTCCTGAAATTCGAAATGTATCGAAATGCGCGTATAAGGATGCGGTCACGTAACGCTATACCGTGTCGCGTTGCGGCACGTGAAACAGAATTTATCGATTGCGCGAAATTTATCTCACGTGACGCAATCGTCGACCGACGAAAAATATCGCAAAAATATCGCCCTGTTCAGTCCACGCTTCACGGAATTTTAAGGACAGCAATTTGTGTGGGTGTGTTCGCGACAACGCGGTGAGCGACGGGGGTTGCCTTTAACTCACTCTACCCTGAAAATTCCAGCATCCGGCGAGATGAAACGTGCTCGCGCAGACGCGCGACATTTTAAGAAAATTTCGATGCTGGCGCAATTTTTTTTTAATGGCAATTCCTGTATGGTTCGGGCTTGTAATCCAATTGAAGGTGCGAAACCCCGTTGGCGATGGAGTTGTAATCGAATTGTTTGGGACGACGCGTTCAGTCATGGACGCTGCTGTTGGCAGTGTGCGAGCTCTAACTTCCTTCCTCTTTTTTCTTCCTTTTTTTTCTCCTTTTTTTTTACTTGTAATGTGCAGTCGAGCGAATTTCACCGGTGAGGTGTCACGCGCAGAATTACGTGCACTTCGCAGCTCGAAAAATACTCGCGGCAAAATAGTCCGTATTATTCGCAAAGTCTTCCAACTCCCTGCGCATCCGCCGGAACGTCTTAGCTTATGATATGAATAAAGTTTTACGATAGCTAATACCGGGGATTTCAATGTTGCGCGATATTCCCTCTCTCGGGAGTAGGGCAAGAGCGTGTTGCTTCGTACGTACGAGGGATGAAATTCGTGTGCGTTTGCATACGGTGTATTATTGACAACTTCGTGCTTGAATTTAAACGGTCAATCGCATATCCACTTCCGCGGATAAGTGAATGAACCGCCATACTCCCGATTTAAAATCAGCCAATTGTTTACAGACGGAACCTTAATCGGAATGAAGAGCACTCGCCTTTACGCGCGAGAGATGTAATGATCGACCAAATCGGATAAGTTTACAAAGCCGATCTGAAACGATGTTATGTATTATGAAAGTTCCGCAATTGCTTTAATCAAATACCGTTCAAATACACCGCTTTGGCAGCAAATAGTCCGGACTGAGGCGATTTCACTGCGTCCGATTCCCGAGAGCTCTGGCGAATAAACCCGTCATGATTTTTCTAGCGATTAACATCTCTAAATGCCAATGTAATTTTTTCCTTTTCCCATCTCGCGTTTTGCGATTCGCTGATTCGTCAGGACGGCTATTAAAAGCGTCTGCCGAGTTCCCGAGTCTGAAAAGCACTCCCTTGTATCGTGGTGCTTTCGCCCCCTTTTGGCATTAATTGAATCAATATTTACCTGGTAGGCGAACATGTGTAATAATGAAGTTTGACAGTTTCCTCGCGCTTCAAATTAGTCGGCGTGGAGAAGCCGAGAAAGGGACAGTCGGAGAAATGTGTATATGTGAGAGAGAGAGAGAGAGAGAGAGAGAGAGAGAGAGAGAGAGAGAGAGAGAGAGAGAGAGTAG